AACTCAGAAACTGGAAGTAGAAAGGTGTTTGCCAGTGACCGAGGGGACAGAGGAGAGGGAAATATTGATAATAGGTACAGAATTTCAGTTTTGCAAGTTGAAAAATTTCTTGAGATCTATTGCACAACAATGTGTGTACAGTTAACACTACTGTAATGTATGCTTAAAAATGGTTAGGATGGCAAATTTTATGGTTTTTACTATAATTTTTTTTTAAAAAGAGGCGGGGAAAGGTACAAATTCAGGCTATGATGGCATCCACACTGCTTGAAATAGATAACAATGATGAATAAAATATAAAAATGTAAGATCTAAATGACATAACCAGGTTCAAAGCAAGCTAAGCATCCCTACAGAAGGGAAAAAAAAAAGCACTGCACAGGTTATAGCCGAAGAGCTCCATATTCTGAAGTTGGAGGTGTGCCCCAGAGCTCCACTCTGATCCAGTCCATGGAAATAAAATCCCTCTATGGAGGATGGGGACTGTGGCCAGGCTACCTGCTCCCGCAGTGGCTGGGAGTGTTTTCCTCTCCAACTCTAAAAAGGCTGAAATAAAAATGCTGATAGTGCTTTAGACAAGATCCAGTGATCGACACAGCCTTGCAATGAAAGTACTAGACCTAGCCATACCTAGCCCAGGCCCCCTTCCCTACCCGCAATATTACCCTTGGGTAGTAGCCTTGAAATGAATACTATTCTAAACTAGAGCCACTGAAGGTTGTATAGCAGCAGCAGCAGCAACAACAACAGCAAATCACTAGAAGGTGAGGGCAGACCTCAGAGGAAGACCATGGGGGCAGAGGGGAGAGAGAAATGTTCCTGCAGACCAAATAACAAACACATGAAGAACAAATTCTAAATTCTAATAATTTCAAACCAATTCTAAAAATGATAGCCAAAAACTTCACTGATTAAACTATGAATTGATTACCAAAGGCATTAAATGTATGAGGAAGTCTGACAAAGTATTATAGGAATGCTCAGAGAGATAAATGAGTTAATAACTTTCTATAAAAAGAGCCAGATAGTAAAAACAGGAAGAAATCAACCAAGATCAGGTAGATATTACTCAAAACCATTAGACATCCAAAAATGAAAAATACATAGTGATTGAAATCACAAATTAGATGGCATTAATTCTAGGGTACATGAATTTGAGTTTCTAACAGAAGTCATTTTTCAGCATTATCAGCATCAAGATAGAGAAATGAAATGTACATGTGTTAAGAGTCAAAACATGTCGGAACTGAAGAAATATGCATCTTTGTATTAAAAGTGCATTCTGAATTTCTAACAAGGTAAATTAAGAGAGATTCACAACAAGACACTATAGTTAGATTTTCAGAACAGGAAACATAAAGAGATTTTTTTCCTGTATAGATTACCTACAAAGGAAAGAATATTAAACAAATTGCAAACCTATACTCAGCAACAGATGTCAGACACCAATGGAGTATAATTTTCAAAGTCCTGGGAAAGACAGAAGTTTACTAGAATCTTACAACAATCTGAACTGTAATTCAAGATTGAAAGCAAAAAGAAGGCATGTTCATGGACACGAAGGCAAAGCCAATTCACCACCTATATAGCCCTGAAACAAAGATTTCTTTGAGTCAAAGTTGATACATACACAAAACAAAAAAACTATATGCATAGAAATTATTTTTGAGATTGGTAAACTTAACTATTAGTTATAGAATAATAACTAGTCATGCATATGATTTTATTTTAAAGTTTCACTAATCAAATTGGCAAGAAGGGTGGTGGTGTTTACTAGGCAAGGCACATCCTAAGGTCAACCAGATATTTGGAATGAGGACAGAAATAAAAAATACTGAACAGACTATACACTTATACATGCATGTTAAAAAGGAAGGGTAAATCACTAAAGACATAAAATTATAACCTACATTTACAAACTAGCTAAGGAATAAAAATAGAATAGAGAAAAAGTGTCAACACAAGGAAATAAAAATAGAACGCAGAAACAAGAGGAAAAAATACAAACTACAATGGTAAAAACAAATCCAGATGCATCAACAATCTCACTAAATGCACATGAATTAAATTCAGCTATCGAAACACAGATTTTTCAGAATGGACCTTAACATTTTTGCTCTATGCTACTCAGCCATCACTCTGCCTTTACCACTTTTTCCTGTTCCCCGGTGACAGGAAGAAATCAGAAGTCACAAGGGAATTACTTCCTAGTTTAAAAATAAACCCAAACCAGGTGAATGACACTAGATAAATGCCACCATTTGGACTTTAAGTAGCTTCTTTAAGACCTGTTGGGTTTGGCTCCAGCCACACGCCAGCCCCCCATCTCTACCACATACTGGCTATGATGTGCTTAACTATACCGTTTCACAGAAGTAGGAAACTGCTTTAAAAAAAAAAAAAAAGACTCCAACCCTTAATATACACCAAAACACCTCAAGAAAACCTATTTTAATAGCTTGCTTTTCACTGACCACCAGGCCCCTGGCTGCGCTTGCGCTGAGGCATGCCACACAGCCGAGCAGTACTGCATTCGTGATGCAGCCTTAAGGTTCAATTCTTTTTCAGGTTTGCCTACCCCAGGATTGGCTCTCTCCAGTCTAATAACAAAATTTTCAGGCCTATGCCTACTGTTTAAAATTAAACACCGGGGCACCTACGTGGCTCAGTCTGTTAAGCACCAGACTTCAGCTCAGATTCAAGCCCTGCGTCAGGCTCTGTGCTGACAGCTCACAACCTGGGGGCTGCTTTGGATTCTGTGTCTCGCTCTCTCTCTGCCTGCCCTGCTCTCTCAAAAATAAGTAAACATTAAAAAAATATTAGATTAGATTAGATTAAATACCAGCACTTAGTTCTATGAGCTCTATCCAGAAAAAGAATGATTTTGAAAGTAGGAATCCTGATGATTTATGTCAGCATGACATCCTTATAATCAAAGGAAAATTGTTCTCAGTAGCCTCTACCATAAGCAGGGAGAAATTATGTGATTTTTGGTATGAGGCAAATTTTATTTAAGAGAAGGGGAAATTGAGTATGTGGTTACCCCAAATAGGAACTCACCAGGTAATTATTGGCTTTTGAAAGCATTTGCTCCTTTACAAAAAAGCACCGACAGTAAAATTATCCAGTCAGGAATTTCTTAAAATCCCTCCTCTGGCCAGCCCTCTGTGCCGTATCCCTAGTTCTGAGCAAGAATGATAAAAAGAATGCATCTCTGAACACGCTTCAGAGTATGCAGTTACTTAACTCCTACTGAATATCCAGGCTCCTCTCAGGAACTTTGGGATTGCACCCAACAAGGGAGACCTCTCCACACACCTACTCCCTACACACACACACACACACACACACACACACACACACAGGCTCCTACACATTGTCCTCTGTCTACAATACTGTTGTCAGACTTTCTGTGTTTTTCTTCTTCCCAACCCTTTGGAAATAATCTCTGGTCCAAAGATCTGAACGCCACCTTTTTTGCGTAAGTGCTAGTTTTAGCTCTTTACTTGATGACTGGTTAAATCCTTAAAGTCAATACTATCCTAAGACTATCTCTATGTTTTAGTTTGTACTACAGTGAAAACTTTTTTTTTTAAGTTTAACTAATTGGAATTATTCAAAACAACCTTTCATCTTTTTTGCTTATTTTAATTCTTGTATTTAAAATATTGACTCATAATAACTGGACATTAAGAACAGTTAGAATTATGTCAGCTTAAAAATGAAAGCTCATTTTTGTTTTAACCAAAAATGTGTTTATCTGTAAGTATTATAGAACTGTTGAAAGAGTGTGTTTGTACACATCTAGTATATGAATGTGAATTCATGTCTGAGCATGCTCAGGAATAAAATAGTAACTTTAAAAATCCTAATATGAATAGCAGATGTATTACTAAAAAGCAGGAATAGTATAGCAGAGATTCATTCAGCTGAATATGGAAAAATGTTTAATAAAAGCAAGTTAATATTTAATTTAGAATCTAGTAGGTATTCATGAGCTTCCTGAATATGCTGTTTATTGAGCTCATAGAAAATAAGGGTAGAAATCTTTAACCATGATTTTTCAGGATATCTCTTCATGAACTACAAATAGGCAATTCCCTTATGAGAGAATATATAAGAGTATGTTTGTACACATCTAGTATATTAATTCAGAATTCGTAATTCATTTATATATGTATAATGAGATTCAGTGGAGTCATATTCTCCCAATGCATAAATTATTATCTTGAAAGTCAGACAGGCATTAGACAAGAGTTAACTACTTTCCAGTATGTCAGGACTCATAATGTAGCCACTGGTGCCACCTAATTTTGCCAGTTTTGGATATAAAAGAGATGTTAAATAATCCAATGTCCAACACGCTCACTTTAAATGTCCAGAAATTAAGCCAAAGGGAGGGGAGTAACTTGCCCAAAGAGAAATAATACCTGAAATATGAATAAAACTCAAATATCCAGCCCCTAATCCAGACCCCATTCCATAAATTCGCATCGTTTTTGAAGTGACGAGTTATGCCAGGAGTCTGATATATTAGGTATTGAACAGATTCATTAAATACAAACAAAACACAATCTAATCTGAAAGTTTTTCTCCGCAACAAGACAAAACAGTCTCCCAGACAAACTGAAAAATTTAACTCAGTACGCCATCCTATGTGCTTAAAGGAGAAGTCATAGTAGAAAGGAAAAAAAAAAAGTCCTGCCTCTTGAATTAAACAGAATGGTAAAATTTGAAAGATCAATTATCCTCTAGAAGTGGAAGCCAGACAAAGAGAATTTAATACTGCATAGACAGTAACGAGGTCTTTCTCAACAGGGCATGATCCTTTGCATTGTAAATTATTAAATCTTAATAGAATCCTGACATATTGGGTCAGAAAACATAAAATCACTTCGACTTCTAATTTTCTTTCCTAAAAGAATGGTTCCTCCACTATCTCTTTATGCACACAAATGCACACACACACACACACACACACACACACACAAGGTACTTACTGAGCTGTAGAGATAGCCTTCACCATTCATGGCCACATAGAGGCTGGCCTTCACCCCTTGGATGGCCACCACACGCAGGCCCACGGGAATTAGATTGAAGAGGGCTAGAGAGGAAAAAGAAGACAGAGAGGAAAGAATCAGTGACCTTTTGAATAAATCACCCTGCTTCTTAAGAGGACTCTTTTGAGAATTACAACCTATGAACCAAAATTAGTAGGGAGAGAGAAGGAGACTGAAGAGGTCGAAAGGTGAAGAGAACGGGTTTCTTATCTTTGCACCACTTTTAATTACCTAGGTGACCTCAGGTAAATCACATAAACTCATCTGTCATAAAGGGGTAATTTTACAAGGTCTCAATGGGCCCCACATTTTTGCTTCACAAAATGAACACATACTCAAACAGTGTAATATGATTTTTTTCAAACAAATCAATAATTCAAACCAAAACATTCTCAATAGTGGAAAACATAATTGCAGTCATACGTAATAATAAAATATGATCTTTATAACCTATGCCAAAGCTTCTTGCTTTCATATTTTTCCCTGTGGTCTTGAACATTGTCTTCAACACAGAAGATAAACACAAAAAACACTGACTCATTTTTAGTTACATTGGTAGAATGAGAGCACTTCTTTTTATAGTTTAATTCTTTTACATATAAATGTAGATAAAAAGAGAGATGTATACTAATTGATAGCTTAAGCTCTAATAGACATATATATCAGAAGGCACACACACACATATAATACATGCACAAAACCACTAAAACCATTAAAAATTAATTTGTTGAATGTAGTTTAGTATCCTAGGATGAAATGAGAACAGGTTTGTGGTCTTTAAATATTTTGGTTGTCCATCACTGAACAGTCTACATGTCTACTTGAAGAAGGTATTCAAGTAACAGAAAGAAAAATAAAAGATAATCTATTTTTCTTCCAACAATATATTTTGATGAATTACATCTTCCTAGCACTACTGTACTTATTGTTGTGATTACAAAATGAGCATAAGCATTAACATTGTCCCTTCCCTGAAATAATTCATATTACATTAAGGAAGAAAGTAATCATATAGTTAGGCTCTACAGATGGCAACATGGTGATGAACTAAATATCTCATGGCTGCATGCATAAGAGAATATATCTGTAGCTCACTTTAACATCCTGGTTTCAGTGGAAATTTTTATCGCTCTTTTCTACTGATAAAATTTCCAACAGTTCTGGTCATCTTCTTGGTGTTGAATATAAGATGTATGTAAATCCAACCAATGGCTACCTGGAATGACTGATTATTCTGGGTTTTTCTCAACTTAGAATGGTAACCTAAATAACCACATACACTCATACACACACACACACACACACACACTGACTTTCAGTCAAATGTTCAGTTGATGGTTGTAGAGGATCAAGACTTAGACCACAGGTTACTACAGCAGGTTTCAAATCTTAGATGCTTGACATTGGACCAGCCTCTTTGCCTCTTTGAACCTGTTTCCTCATTTGTCATGACAGTTGAGATTAAATCTTGGGAGAGGCTCAAGAATTATTAGCCAGCTCAATTCGAATGTGAATTGTTTTTGTTCTTCATATGTTCTTACCACTGTCCTTGTGCTACTGAAATAACTTAAGAAGCATAAGACCTTAAAGTCTACTCGGGGAAAGAAAGCTAAGACATATGGAATAATCTGATACAGTGTATAATTTATTTCTATAATTAAATATAATATATTCATTCTATATATATTTTCTATGTTACAGAAGTTCAGGAAAATGGAAGATCTGTGTGGCCTGAAATATTCAGGAAATGTTTTGGATAGAATATGGAACCTAGGTTGACACTTAAAGAAAGGGCAGAATTTGAGTAAGCCAAGAACAGAAAAACATTTTGGGGGGATAGGAGGTTAGGTGATTCTGGAGGATAATGTATGTGTAGACCAGTAGTTTGGAAGATTTGGTTCATCCTAGGAATAAATGAGAATAAACACCATGTAGATAAAGTAGGTCTGTCAATGGATAAGGTATGTGTAGACTGGTAGTCTGGAAGATTTGGTTCACAGTAGGAATACATGAGAGTGAACACCACGTAGATAAAGTAGGGATAAATACTCGAATGTCTGTCACTGCCATCGTAGACATCTAAACTTTGCCAAATGGAAAACAAGAGGTGTGATGCATAAAGATTTGAGCAACAACAGATTACAAAAAAAGTGTGAGGCTTGCAGACAACATAGTTTCTAAACTAACCACTCAGAAGCTACATGGCTTTGAGCCATTCATTTAACCTCTGCTTTAATATTTCTATCTGTAAAATGAACATAATAATCCTTCCTGCATAGTGTTTATAGAAGAATCAAATTCATTATCATATTCGTAAAAGTGTTTTATAAACAGAGAGATGTTCTCTCTATATGAGTTATTTGTCATAAATATATGTCTTCTGCTTATCAAATAAGGTCACTGTAAGGCACAATGTAAAAACTGACATTCTCTCACTGATTTCTATTGAGTTCATATTCAGAATTGTTTAATACTCTAAAAAATAATACTCCATTTTTGTGCAACACTTACTTTTCAAAGTGTTGATAAATTCATCATTGTATATGACCCTCAACCACCAACACTATGGGGCATTTAGGACAGAATGATTGTCCTAATTTTGGAAGGACAAATGAGTGAAACTCTCTACCTGAACAAAGGTTTTCTGGCTCTTTCATGTGGTTATTGCTAAAATATTGTGTTTCCTCCTTCTTTCTTTTTTAAGTTTAATTTCTCCTGATATCCATTCTTGCCTTTTCACAAAGTAAGACTACATAGCTACCTTTCCATACATGTCATGCAGTTGACTGTGGCTGTGGACTCATCTCAATGACATGTTTGTAGAAGGGTCTCTGTATTCTTGAAGACTCTTTCCTTACAGAAAGCTTAGAGGGGGGCTTCTGAGTGGCTCAGCTGGCTGAGCATCCAACTCTTGATTTCTACTCAGGTCATGATCTCATGGTTCATGGCATTGAGCCCTGAATTGGGCTCCATACTGACAGCATGGAGCCTGCTTGGGATTCACTCTCTCTCCCTCTCTCTCTGCCCGTCCCCCACTCTCACTCTCGCTCTCTCTCAAAATAAATAAACCTAAAAAAATAAAAGATAGCTTATAGGTTTCCTTTGCTCTCTTCTCAACCATTTGCCTTATTGTTGTGTGGACTGGGATGGGGGTCTGGTGGCTGGATCATTCTGAGACCATGAAAACAAAGACTACCCCCCCCCCGGGGAGTGGTGGTAGGTGAGCTGGAAGGAGCTGGGTCTCCATGGACTTTGTGAAGCAATGGCACCAGTCCAGCAGTTACCTAGAGGTCTGGCTTTTATGTGAGAAAAATAAGGCCTTGTTATTTTAGTCTGTGTAATGCTGAGCCAACTCTAATTCTAACTGATAAAGAAAGCAGAGTTAATATGTAAGGTACCAACTAAAGGTAAGGTACTTACACATTGTAAATAAATGCAACTACTGGAAAATACTGAGTTCAGTGAAAATTCTTACGAGAAAGAACAATGAAAACCAAAATTGTGCAGAATGTCTTTCTCACCTAAAGATTCTTCAGGAAAATGCTAAGAACATTGATCCATTTAGCTGAAACAGTCATAACAAAGCAACTAGAAAGCTTTTCATACCTGAGGACAGTGTGAAAATTACTAAAGCCAGGCAGGGACAAAAGCAAGAAACTGTGAAAATTCTATGCAAATAGAAAAGTGATAATGGCTTTTCAATGATATGCTTTGGGAGATTTAACAAGTCCATAAAGAAAATCAGTAAACATTTTGGAATTAAATTTTTAGTGGTAAACGCTAAAAACTATTCTCTTTGGGAAAGTCTGCATCTGCCTCCTAAAATCTTGAAAAGTGGCAAATGGCATTCCTATGTATTATTTATCTTCATTGTAGTGCACAGGCTCTAACTCACAGGAGCCCTTTGCTACTTGCAAAAACTCCTCCATGTCTCCAATCTTCCTCTCCACCCTTGAAGCCACAGCCCCACCTCATAGGAACGGAGCCACACCGTTGTTCCAGTGCCTGGCATCTACTTATGCCATTTCCTTGCTTACAACCTCTAGGACCTTTACACCAACTACAGATGGATCCAGAATCTCTACTCTGACCCTCAGCACCCTTTGCAATCTGGCTTCAAGTGTCATTTCCAATTTAGCACCTGCTACACACGCATTCCATTCACCAAAACCAGCTTTATAGAGTTTCCCCATTTCTTAAGCTGCCCCTTGATCTTTAACTAGGCTAAATTTTATTTTATTTTCTTCTCTCTTTTTGAAAAGTCTGTCTTTACTATTCAACTGCACCATAAGTCTTACCCAAACCCAAACATCTCAAGATGGCTGTTTCCTTTTCCATAATTGTGTACTTCACCGGTATATCTTTGATATACTGATATATAACTATACTGGTGTATCTATAGTAGCATTTGGGACATGGTATTATAGTCATTTGTTTACACATTGTTTACACATCCCTAAAATGAAAGACTATTGAGGCTAAGTCTCTACAATTTATACCCCAGTTATATGTACATATCTTACACTCATTCAATGTTATTGATTATAAGGGTTGTGAAAAGACACATTTCCAGAATTTATGGTTTTCTTATTGGAATAAAAGTTCTTGGGTTTTTTTTGGATCAACATTTTTTTAAGATTAAAAATAAATGAAAAACTTAAAACATCTCAGCCTGAAAGTCAAAATTATATACAGTCACAGCACACATTTCTGCTACATGGCACTATTTCCTCTAATATATTTATTTACTGCTTCTAGTAATTTGATCTCCCTCTTCCTACTCTTTAATTCCATGTTTTTGCTTACTTCATTCTCTCTGCTTGGGATGCTGCTCTTCCCATATCTTCACACTGAACCTCTCGCCATACTAGACATGAAACACTAAACACCAAGTACTTTCTCTCACTCTTAAGCTTCCCCAATCTTGAATCTAGACTGTTTTCACCACAATTTATAATTTTCTTCCTTTAAAAATATGTTTCTGTCCTAACCACAGCTAGAATGTAAGCTCCCCCAATAAATATCACATCTAAACCACACCTGT